CCCCCTCACTCTTTTTCTTTCTGAACTACAACTCCCAAACTCCAGGTCAATGCCAACCAAACCCTTCTGGTGTTTTCTGTTGGTCATGGGAGTCCTTTGTGCTAAGTTTGGCCCAATTACATCATTGGTGGGGTTCAGAATGCTCTTTGATTGTAGGTGAACTAAAAATCCCAGCAACTCTAAATCCCAAATGACAAAATCATTTTTTTGTGTGTGTGTGTGAAGGACATACATTGGGTTGTTAGGTGTCTCCTGGAATGATTCCATCAGCGCTGCCTCCGGAAAATCCTGCAAATATCTTGGGAAGACAAGCGGACAAACGTCAGCGTTTGCAAAGACCACCAGCATTGAAGCGATGGTCCTCCGCCATCAACTCTGCTGGACCGGCCACGTTGACTGGATGCTCAGCCACCGTCTCCCAAAGCAGTTGCTCTACTCTTTCCCTCCTTCTCTCGACCGCATTGATCAGGTCCTCCGCATTTGTTAGGATGAGATCAAGAGTAGCCAATTCCCTTGTTGCTTCTTCTACCTTCTGGACCATGAAATTATCTGCAAGGCAAGCGAGGAATTTGTTGGACCTTGAATGCAATATTCCTGCTTCTTGGCAGAATGGGGTGGGACTGGATGGCCCATGAGGTCTCTTCCAACTCTTTGATTCTATGATTCTATACTCTGAACTTAAGAACAGAAAACGGAATGTTGGTGGATAGGAAAAGAGATTTAAAGATGGCCTTAAAGCCAACCTTAAAAACTCTGGCATAGACACTGAGAACTGGGAAGCCTTGGCCTTTGACCGCTCCAGCTGGAGGTCAGCTGTGACCAGCAGTGCTGCAGAATTCCAGGAGGCACGAGTGGAGGGTGAAAGAGAGAAACGTGCCAGGAGGAAGGCGTGTCAAGCCAACCCCAACCGGGACCGCCTTCCACCTGGAAACCAATGCCTTCACTGTGGGAGAAGATGCGGGTCAAGAATAGGGCTCCACAGCCACCTACAAACCCACAAAAATAGTCATCAAGGAAGACCATCTTACTCGTCCAATGAAGGATCGCCTAAGTAAGTAAGTAAGTAAGTTAGGTGTCTTGTGTCCAAATTTGGTGTCAATTCGTCCAGTGGTTTTTGAGTTCTGTTAATCCCACAAACGAACATTACATATTTATTTATATAGATATTCCCTAGGCTTGGGCGGTTTCGTTCATTAATTTCGTAATTCGTTATTAATTCGTATTTAAATTAGCTTACGATCCAATATTGAGCCATGCAGGACTAGTGAGGAGTAATTAAAAATCGAAACAATTTTTCCAATTTGTTTCGTATTGTTTCGTAATTGTTTCAAAATTGTTTCGAAATTGTTTCGAAATCGTTTCGTAATTATTTCCGTATGTTTGGTGCAAGTTTTATAGTTGTTGTTTGTTTTATCAGTGATAAAAAATAAATTATCACACCAACAGTCAACAAGAGAGGGAGAGGGAAGCTTCAGAAGTTCCTCCTGTCCCATTTGGAGGGTTTTTGAGCATATGCGCAATCGCGTCCGCCATTAACGAATCGATTCGTAATTTTACGAAATTTCGTATATTTCGAACTTTTTTAAAGGAAAATTTTGGAATTCTTAAAAAAAAACAAAACGCAAGGGCCCCCTAAAAACGAAACGAGTTTAGAACCAAATTTTTCCGTGGTTACCCAAGCCTAATATTCCCATCCAAACCCAAGTAACGAAGGTGAAGGCATTACTTTTCATTCAACCCTCATACAATTCTGCATATACTGCATTGATTCTGCAGTATAGATGTGCCTCCAGAAGATCCTCTAGCAAGCATAGTTCATAGAATCATAGAATCAAAGAGTTGGAAGAGACCTCATGGGCCATCCAGTCCAACCCCCTGCCAAGAAGCAGGAATATTGCATTCAAATCCCCCTTGACAGATGGCCATCCAGCCTCTGTTTAAAAGCTTCCAAAAGGAGCCTCCACCACACTCCGGGGCAGAGAGTTCCACTGCTGAAGGCTCTCACAGTCAGGAAGTTCTTCCTCAGGTTCAGATGGAATCTCCTCTCTTGTAGTTTGAAGCCATTGTTCCGCATCCTAGTCTCCAGGAAGCAGAAAACAAGCTTGCTCCCTCCTCCCTGTGGCTTCCTCTCACATATTTATACATGCATCATATCTCCTCTCAGCCTTCTCTTCTTCAGGCTAAACATGCCCAGCTCCTTAAGCCGCTCCTCATAGGGCTTGTTCTCCAGACCCTTGATCATTTTAGTCGCCCTCCTCTGGACACATTCCAGCTTGTCAATATCTCTCTTGAATTGTGGTGCCCAGAATTGGACCCAATATTCCAGGTGTGGTCTAACCAAAGCAGAATAGAAGGGTAGCATTACTTCCCTAGATCTAGACACTATGCTCCTATTCATCTGCCTTCTAGCCCTTCATCTAAGTCATTAATAAAGATGTTGAACAGGACCGGGCCCAGGACGGACCCCTGCGGCACTCCACTTGTCACTTCTTTCCAAGATGAAGAGGAAGCATTAGTGAGCACTCTCTGTGTTCGTCCACTTAACCAATTACAGATCCACCTCACCGTAGTTTTGCCTAGCCCACATTGGACTAGTTTCCTTGCCAGAAGGTCATTCTGGTTCCTTCTATATAGTTCCTTCTATAGGAACGGATTGTGTCTCTGCTGTGCGTTTGGCCAGCTTCAATAGTTTCCACTGACATTAGCGGCCTTTTCTAAACAATTGTATTTGTCTTTAATTATTCCTTTCCGTTCCAATTTCATACCCCGCCGAGTCTTGTTTGTAGATTGTAAGCAATCAGCAGGCGCTTCCTCTGGTTTTCTGGGGTGGAATTTTAACTTATACCATGACATAACACACCCTTTTGAGGACTTTAAAAAAACTTTGAAGAGTAAAATCACCATAAATCACTGTCCAGAACGTCCCCTTTGCTCCTTCCAAGAGAGGAAAGTACTGATCTTGGCAATGTATTTTTTTTTTTCATTTTGCAAAGTAAAAAATTATTCAAGCCTCACGCAATCCAAAAGTGTCAGTCAAGGAAAGCGAGTGGGAATAATAAAAATAATAAAAAATAGAATGATGAGGAAATGACCTAATGGACCAAGGCAGATTGAGTTAATTTGTAATTAATTAACTGCCCCAAGCAGAATCCATAGAGGGAAGTGACCCAACACCAGGATTCCAATTAACGGAGTTCTTTTTCCCCACTTGATAAATTATATGAACCTCGAGGAATGTTCCAACTAGAAGGAAAAAAGGTAGTGTTCCCTGGATGCCGACGGAGGTCCTCAAAACGTCTTGGCTAGTAAATTAAATTACTGCCCCAGCCGATGTTCCTTGGAGAGGACAAAGAAGGAGGGGGAATAATGCAGGTTTCCCAGGCTCTGAGGCAAGTTCGTTTCATAGAATCATAGAATCAAAGAGTTGGAAGAGACCTCATGGGCCATCCAGTCCAACCCCTGCCAAGAAGCAGGAATATTGCATTCAAATCACCCCTGACAGATGGCCATCCAGGACAAGAGAACTCAAGAACATCTGGTGGACAAAGAAGGCTGAAGAAATCCAACACTTGACAGATACCCATGATGCTCAGGGATTTTTCAAACCCACAAAGGTCATCTATGGACCAAGAAACCATGGCATACAGCCTCTACACTCATCAGATGGAACCAAACTCTTGAAGGACCAAAAATCAATTGCACTATATTGGAAAGAACACTACCAAAACCTCCTGAACCGCAGCTCCAATGTGGCCGAAGAGGATCTCTCACAAATCCCGCCACAACAAACCAGGGATGAGTTTACAGCACTGACTACTTTGGAAGAAGTCAGCAATGCCATCAGCCAACAAAAAAAAATAACAAAGCCAGCAGACCTGATGGGATCCCTGCTGAAATATTTAAAGAGGAAGGACCTGAGCTGACACAACAACTCCACAAGCTCATAGAAAAAGTGTGGGTGACCGAGGCAAGCCCCCACGCTGACAATCTTCAGGAGAAACCTGAAAACCTGGTTATTCCAATGTGTCTTCAATGATTGAATGTAGGACACTCATCGACCAAAATGACCACGGAAGCACTTTATTTTATGGTTCATGCAATTAAATCCTTCCTCATCCCCGGATCCCCCCTTCATGACAATTTTACATTGCTCTACCTCCTAGTGTTTTTAAATTTTAATTTTTTATTCTTGAATTGGCCCTGCCCAGTGAAATTTTTCTGTGTTTTGATGTCAGATTTCATATTGCTGTGTTGTCTATTATATTGGTTTTTGCATTTTATGTATTTTATTTTATTTTTGGTTTTGATATATTTTTGTGTAATACTGTGTTTATTGTATTGATGGGCGTGGCCTCATGTAAGCAGCCCGGAGTCCCCCTGGGGGAGATGGAGCAGGTTATAAATAAAGTATTATTATTATTATTATTATTATTATTATTATTATTATTTATTTTTATTTACAGCTTTTTATATTCCGCCCTTCTCACCCCACAGGGACTCACTGTACACATATATGGCAAACATTCAATGCCAATTTCTGACATACAAACATATACAGACATACACAGAGGCTATTTAACTTTTTCTGGCCACCAGGGGAGCTGTCGCTTTCCTCGTCCATCTGCGACACTGATGAAGCACTTCCGCATTCCCCGCATGCTTCCCCGCTGGAATGCTTTGCTGGAGTCTTCTTTATGGCCTCATAAATCAGTTAATTTAGCCTCCCCACACTTTTTTAAGGTGGTACCTAATTTTCCTACTTGACAGATGCAACTGTCTTTCGGGTTGCAAAGGTCGACAACAGGCTACACACAATTGATTGGAAACCCACTCCATGGCTTCGAACTCATGACCTTTTGGTCAGAGTGATCTTAATGCAGCTGACACTCAGCCAGCTGCGCCACAATCCCGGTGCAGTAATAAACTACACAATCCCGGTGCAATTATTAAACTACAAGTCCCAGTCTCCAAAGTGAAAGAGGGAAGAAGACAACACTTACGTTTGTGTTGCAGAGCTTGTACTGTTTGTAGGCTCCGGTGCAGACGATCACGGCTGCCCTTTGCGGAGATGCTTGGCTTTGGACTGACTGTCGAGACCCCGGAAGACGGCCGTTCAGGTCCGTATCGTGAAACAAGCTCTGAGCGACAGGGAAGGTCTGGAAGTGAGAGGCAGCCGGCTGGTAAAATGAACCGCTTCCAGGTTGAGGTCTAGACAGAGGAGGTCTGCGGTCGTCCTGGTACAAACTTCTCTGGCGATGGGATGGGTGTGAAGGTTGAGCCAAGGGCACGCCGACGTTCTGCGGTTGGCTCACCTGCCTCTTCCTCCGGGATTTGTGCGGCGTTTGACCCGTGTCTGTCTGCAGCGGGACTATATAGGGCACTTTCCCATAGCCATACTTCCCAGGTCCAATGGGATTCTTATTCCTGCCTCTGAGGAAACAGAGAAAAGAAATGTTCATGTCAATAGATGGTGGCAGGTGGATAAATGAGAAAGATACTAGGGCTACTCGGCCTCTTGTAAGCCGGACCGAGTCCTGCGGGAGATGGTAGCGGGGTACAAATAAAGGTTTATTATTATTATTATTATTATTATTATTATTATTATTATCATTATTATTATTATTATGTGCAATCCTTTAAAAATGCTTCCTAAGTCATTATTAAACTGGAGGGAGCTGGCGTTTCGTTTCTGAAGTATTTCTAAAGTATCTATATAAATAAAAATGTAATAATAAATAGAGTAAAATAATAAATGTAATAAAATAATAGAGTAAAATACTGTATATACTCGAGTATAAGCCTAGTTTTTCAGCCCTTTTTTAGGTTGAAAAAGTCCCCCTTGGCTTATACTTGAATCAAGGTTATTTATTTATTATTATTTATTTATTTACTGCATTTGTATACCGCCTTTCTCAGCCTATCGGCGACTCAAGGCGGTTTCCAACAAAACAGTATATACAGTATCATAGAACATTTTAAAGCATTTCAATTACATAAACCACAACAATAAAAACAACATCATTAGCGTCTCCTTATTGTCAAGCATTGTCCAGTTCCATCGTCAATCGTCCATTCCTATGTCATTTATCCATATCCGTTACTCTGTGTTTGAGAATGCTTGCTCAAACAGCCATGTTTTGACTTGCTTCCGAAATGTGAGAAGGGAGGGAGCAGATCTAATCTCTCTAGGGAAGGCGTTCCATAGCCGGGGGGCCACTGTTGAGAAGGCCCTGTCTCTCATCCCCGCCAAACATACCTGAGACAAAGGCGGGACCGAGAACAGTGCCTCCCCGGACAATCTCAAGGTCCTAGATGGTTCATAAGGGGAGATACGTTCAGACAGGTAAGTTGTGCCAGAACCGTTTAGGGCTTTATAGGCCAAGACCAGCACTTTGAATTGGGCCCGGTAGCAAATTGGCAACCAGTGGAGTTGACGCAACAGGGGAGTAGTATGCTCCCTGAGAGCCGCTCCTGTTAGCAATCTGGCTGCCGTTCGTTGGACTAATGGAAGCTTCCGGACAACCCCACATAGATCGCGTTGCAGTAGTCTATATGGGATGTAACCAGAGCATGTCCAAGTCAGACTTCCCAAGGTATGGGCGCAGCTGGTACACAAACTTTAATTGTGCAAATGCTCCCCTGGTCACCACCGAAACCTGAGGTTCCAGGCTCAGCAATGAGTCCAGGATCACACCCAAGCTGCGAACCAGCATTTTCAGGGGGAGTGTAACCCCATCCAACCCTATGCCCTGTTCGGCCTTGCGACTGACCAGGAGTACCTCTGTCTTGTCTGGATTCAATTTATTTTATTTTACTATTTATTATTTTACGCTGTTGTTGTTGTCATTGTTGGTAGAGTTATCATTTTACTCTATTATTGTTGTAATTATTAAATTTCCACTATTTTACTCTACTATTATTTGAAACATAACAAGATTAGTACACAGCAAACAAGAGCACTATGCTGTCTGTATTATTATTATTATTATTATTATTGTTACATTTATTATTTTTACTCCATTATTATTGGAAGGATACTTAAACACATTTACATTGAAGAAGGTTAGAATAATGCTTTAATCAGAGTTGGGCACTCTTATCTTAAATTACAGTTGTATGTATTCAAACACATTTAAACTACCGATGCCTCCGTTTATTTATTTATTTATTGTTTATTTACTGTATTTCTCAGCCCATAGGCAACTCAAATTAATGTGATTTTATTAGTATCTATTCTTATTTTGAAGTTGACTAGTAGCTGCTGCATTTCCCACCCTTGGCTTATACTCGAGTCAATACGTTTTTGTCAGTCTGACAGTTTTCACAGGGTTTTTTGTAGTAAAATTAGATGCCTTGGCTTATATTTGGGTCGGCTTATACTCGAGTATATATGGTAATGTAAATGTAATAATAATAATACTATATATATATATATATATATATGATTGATTGATTGATAGATAGACAAATATGATATGATATAGAGATGACAGATAGATAATAATAATAATAGTAATAATAATAATAATAATAATAATAATAATAATGGAGACGGAGGGCCTGATTTCTGCAGCCCAAGAATAAGCCATTAGAACAAATGTCATCAGTGCCAGAATTGAAAAGTTGACGACAGATCCCAAACGTAGACTCTGCAAGGAAGCAGATGAAACAATAGATCACATCCTAAGCTGCTGCAAGAAGATCGCGCGGACAGACTACAAGCAGGGGCACAACACCGTTGCTCAGATGATTCATTGGAACTTGTGCCACAAATCCCATCTTCCTGTGACAAAGAACTGGTGGGATCACAAGCCGGAAAGAGTTACAGAGAATGAACACGCCAAACTCCTCTGGGACTTCTGGATTCAGACAGACAGAGTTTTGGAGCATAATACTCCTGACCTCACAATCGTGTTAAAAAAGTATGGATTGTCGATGTCGCAATCCCAGGTGACAGCAGGATTGAAGAGAAACAACTGGAAAAGCTGACATGATATGAGGATTTAAAGATCGAACTGCAAAGACTCTGGCACAAGCCAGTCAAGGTGGTCCCAGTGGTGATCAGCACACTGGGTGCAGTGCCTAAAGGACCTTGGCCTGCACTTAAACATAATTGGCACTGACAAAATTACCATCTGCCAGCTGCAAAAGGCTACCTTACTGGGATCTGCACGCATCATTTGCCGATACATCACACAGTCCTAGATACTTGGAAAGTGTCCAATGTGTGATGCAATACAAAAGTCAGCAGAGTGTCTGCTGTGGACTCATCTTGTTGTGTTTCAAATAATAATAATACAGTTTACTCATTACTCGTCTCTCCTGATGGTTCAAGGCAGGGTACAACAAGTTCAAAAACAAACAAACATAGAAATACAACAAATTACTAAATTTCATAGACACACACACGTGTATGAAAACCAAATACCGCTACAGAATTGACATGGGTTTTTTTGTGTGTGTGTTTGTTTTTTTCATGTCAGGAGCAACTTGAGAAACCGCAAGTCGCTTCTGGTGTGAGAGAATTGGCCATCTGCAAGGACGTTGCTGTACAGAAGTTGATTGTAAATGATATGATTATAAACTGTATTGATTGTAAATGATATTATTATAACTGTATTTGTGTTTACACTGGTTGCCCTAATGCTGGAGCGGCCTAGCTGTGAGGAGTGTGTTACCATGGAAACGATGCTAATGCTGGAGCGGCCTAGCTGTGAGGAGTGTGTTACCATGGAAACAATGCTGTAGAGAAGTGGGAGGAGCTTAGAGAGGGGAGTTTTGAAAAGCGACAGTTAAAAGTTAGTTAGGTTTTATGCTCAGAGGAGTGAAGAGTCATGAAGAGTTAGGGTTTAGGCTCAGAAGAGTGCACAGTCATGAAGAGTCAGGGTTGAGGCTCAGAGGAATGAAGAGTTAGGTTTAGGCTCAGGGAAGTGAAGAGTTGAGAGAGAGAGAGAGAGTGGGAAGTAGAGAAGCAGTGTTTGTGAATAGTCGGAGGTTTCTTCAGTTCGGGAAAGCTGAAGGGGAAACCTTATTAGTTTTATTAGTTAGAGAAGACTAATAGAAGCTCGTTTAGATCACTAGTTAAAAGTGAACTAGAGATCTGAGGTTTGATCACGGAAGGATCAAATAGGAAGGCTATTCACCTCAGGAAACATTGTTTAAGAAAGTGCTTCACCACAGTAAAAGTCAATTACAAGTTGTATCATCCAGAAGTGTGAACTGTATTGCAAACCAAGTTATATGTAACGTTCTCCAAGTATTTTCCAAGTTTATCACCAAACTGCAACCATACGCTTTGTTTCAAAATAAACTTGTTCTCTTTGATTGTAAAACTGCCTCATCTCCATTAATTCTGCGTTTAGTGTGCCCAATCTCCCAAAATTACCTCACATCACCAAATTGGTGGCACCATTAAGGATAATAAATAATAAATCGTAACTTCTCTCTCCTGAGACCTCCCTTACCGAATTTGGGGCCCGAGCTCCTTCCCAGTTGCCCAGGAGATACCTGGATGTTTTACCATCCTGTGGGTGGCTTCTCTCATGTCCCCGCATGGGAAGCTGGAGCAGACAGACGGAAGCGCATTCCCCGGATTCAAACAGTCGACCTTTCGGTCAGCAGTCCAGCCAGCACAAGGGTTTAACCCTTGCATCCTCAAACTGTGGCCCTCCAGCTGTTTGGGCCTTCAGCTCCCAGAATTCTTGACAATTGAACAAGCTTGTTAGGGCTTCTGGGAGATTATAGTTATTTAGAGGTAGATAGGCACAATAAGATAGATGATACAGAAATAACAATAGATTAGTAGATTAGTAGATGATAGATAGATGATGTAGATGCAGAGATTGATAGATGGATAAATGGATTATAATGATTCCTAGATCTACGTGACCAGTAGCTATAGCTTCATTGACAGTCTTTCTTTGTCCTCCATCATGATATTCATGGTCCAGAAGTCTTTCATCTCATGGTTTTGCTACACAAAGTCCAGGAACGTATCCCCACTGACATGGAGTTTATATAATAGACAGATTGTGTATTAGCTTTTCGGCATCCTATGAACTATTTTGAAGTTATGAGTCAAAGATTGCCCATCTGTTTGCATATGAATGTCAACTTAAGAAAGAAGGGGCGGGTCAGCGTTGCTTGTGTTATTGGATCTCACAGCAGCATTTGACACAGTCGACCACAATCTTTTGACCCACCGCCTTGCTGTTGCTGGAGTCAGGGGGAGAGCTTTGAATTGGCTGTCCTCCTTTCTTCACAACCGTGGACAGCGAGTGGAGAGGGGAGGCCTGGTCTCTGAGAGGTCCCCTCTATCTTGTGGGGTTCCTCAGGGGGCCATTCTCTCCCCTCTGTTGTTTAACATCTATATGCGACCACTTGCTCAGCTGGTTCGAGGTTTTGGGCTTGAGTGTTACCAGTACGCTGAT